GTATAGTACTTTTTAGGTACATACAAGTACAAGTTCGAGTATATAAGCTTGAGGGATTTAAAGCCCGAAGTCTGTGGGCCGGAGGAAAGGCCGACTGCATGGCTCCGCAATTGCTCACAGCACAGGATGACACTCGGCAGGTGAGAGAAAAGCATGGGACAGAGGTACTTGGTACAAGTCGGCTCTGGACAGGCCCGTAATGCCTGAGTTCCCATGCTCGTCTTCTTGCTTTTTCGTTAAGCCTCGACGGGCCCAACCCTCACGACCTCCCGCTGCCTCAACTCCTTGACTCGCCTTTCTCTCTCCAAGCCCTTCTCCACGCCCCTTTTCTCTCTCATCAATTTGTCGAATCGTCCCCTTGCCCCGAATTTCACTTTGGTAATCATATCGCCAGCTTGGCCCTTTGTGAGGTCCCACTCCGTCAGGGGCTCTTCATCAGAAATCTCACGTAAACGGTTCAGGAAGTCAAGTTGGCCCTGTGAGGCCGGCGATTTACGCCAGGAAGACGACGTGGCGATGAATATGCGTTCGAATTTCTGGGCGGCGAACGTGTCGGCAGCGTGGAGGGCGTCGCTTAGTGTTGCAGCAGTAGCCACAGTGCGAGGACGAGACCAGGGTGATTTGGAAGTCTCGGTTGGGGGGAGAGAGTGTTTCCACACGACCACGAACGAGGCATCGTCAGCTCCAGAATCCGCGTTGGACTCGGACCGGGAAATGTCGGCAGGCAAGCGACGTTCGAGAGTGAGTATCCCGCCTTTGGCTGCGAGGACGTACTTGTGAGAATCAATTTGGACCCAAGCGTTGGGCGATATGGCGCGCAGATGCCGTTCGCCTGAGGTGTCTTCGATGAGGTCGTGCACAGAGTCGTAGCGGGTAAAGTCAAGATGGTGGTCGCCAGATATGCCATTGGAGCCGACGAGACAACCTGACATCCCCGTAGAAGCTTCTTTCTCCGTTCGGCTACCTCTCAACCCTTTTAAGTCTTCCACTTTTGCCGACTTAACCATTTCGGAAGGGTCGAGGCCGAACAGGGTCGGTACGGTCACAATGCCAGTCTCAAGAGAGGCGACCATATCAATGACATGGCAGTCGTTCTTGCCCGGATAGAGTCGCATACCCCGTCCAATCATCTGCACAAGCAGATTGCGGGATTTGGTCGGTCGGGCAAGTAGCACGCAATCAATGTTGGGCACATCCGTTCCCTCGGTAAAGACACCACAATTCAGCAAGACAGGGAATTCACGATTCTTGAATGCTTCGAGTCGCTCGCTCCGTACCTGTCTCTTCGTATTGCCAGTGATATATTGCGCGTTGATGCCGTATTTCCTGAACATGGAAGTCAAGCTCGCCACATGGTTCAAGTCAACGCAGAACACCAAGGTAGATTTCCGATCTCGGGCTTCTTCCATCCACGCCTTGACGGTGATTTCATTGGTGACCTCAGTGTTCACAGCCGCGGAGAGTTGACCTGCCCGGAAATCTCCATCTTTGCCGCTCCGGACTCTCGATATATCTGCCTTGGATCTGACCGTTGTGAACATGACATCCGACAGCCACTTTTCACCAATCATGTCGATGTAATCTTTATGATAGACAATGTGATCAATGGCCGCGCCCAACTTGAGGCCATCAAAGCGAGAGAATGTGGCGGATACACCCACCAGTGCAGGGCCTGGACTTCTTTGCTTTTCTAGGCCAAAATGTTGCAGGACTTGCAGATACCCAGGAGCCACGATGTGATGGGCTTCGTCGACGAGGACCAGCTTGAACTTTCCGGGATCGTATTTGCTCAGCCGCTCGCCGGAGACCATGCTGCGGACAGATGCTACCGTGATGTCTGCTGCACCTGAAGCATGAATGTCGCCCATCTCAATGTCTATGCTCTTTCCAGGGTATGCTCTCTCACAGTGACGAGCTGCCTGCTCTACCAGCTCTCGCCGGTGAGCAAGGATGAGGGTCTGTTGAGCAATCCGACTCGGCGGCTCGATTCGATTGATCAGTTGTGTGAATATCACCTTAGGACACTGGGTTAGCGTTGCTCTGGTGTATAACCTGTGCCATCAGCAAGCGTACCGTCTTCCCACTTCCAGTGGCCAACGAGATGCCCAAACGCTTGTGGCCCTTCCTCAAGTATGATAGCACGGACTGAATGCATTCTTCTTGATATTCTCGAAGTTGAATCCCTTCACCACGAATCCCTGGTGGTGAGGGGCTGACAACGGTCGCCAGCGACCGACGGGCAAGCTTTGGCCGCAGAAGACATTTCGCGGGACGAGTGAGCGCGAACAGCCATCTGGAGGATGTTATCATAATCTCCCACGGTGCATCGTGGGTCAATGAATGGTTCTAGACTGAACGTGATTTGGGGCTGCGTTCGGAGTATTTTGTACAGCGAGGACAAGTTCCTCGAGGATCAAATGCTGCGTACCTCGTATTACTGCAGTCAATCCGGGCCAATCAGAATCCATTCTCCCTGAGTCCCCTGAATATCAGAAATACTGCAGTCCTTCGTTCTTCCTCTCGCAACAAAAGAAGGTGTTGCTTTCAACATTCAAAATTATCCAGCCGTCTATACGGCAGAAACGACGCAGCTATTCCATTACTCCTGGGAGGCTCAAAAGCAGAGGGAGCATCATCCCAAACCATGGACTTCAGCCACATTTAACGATCCTAGGACATGCCTCTCCGCACTGGATAGGGACTTTACATGTTCAGGGAGGCTCGCGGAATAAAAGACCAGCAACATAGAAAGATGAGAACAATCGTGGAGCAGGTGCTGAAACAACATCTTATTCGATGGTGAGTCCGTTTGAAGCCCCATTATTGCACACGGCATGGAAATTTGAAATCTAGGTGAATTCCCCCCTCCCCCCCCCCAAAAAACAAAAAACCTTTGATATTATCTTCCTTTGGTTCATGTTATGGAAGTATCCTCATGAAAAGTAATTTGCCTCCAAGTCTGCCAGCAACTCAGGCTGTCCAAAAGCACTGGGATTCCACCCGAGTTCGGTCTGAGTCTTTTCGCTCGATGTAGGATTATCTGCAGCGAACACCAGAGCCAGAAATCCGAGAGTCTTCATGGCTTCCTCGGCAGCCTTGCTTTCTACTGGCACCTGCAGATTCTTGCCAACCACGTTCGCTATATCTTTCATTGGAACACCTTGCTCGGCGACGGCGTGGTAATGCGCACCCGGCGTGCCTTTCTCAAGCGCAAGACGGAACAAAGCGGCTGCGTCAAGGCGATGGACAGCCGGCCAGCGGTTGGACCCATCACCGATGATGGTGACTGAGCCGGCCTCTCGCGCAGCGCCAATGAAACGAGGAATGAGTCCTTTGTCCTCTTTGCCGTGAACGGTGGGCGGAAGCCGAACGATTGAGCCACGGATTCCTTTCTCCTTTGACAATCTCGCAACGAGATCTGCGGATTCCTGCCTCGAGGAAAACGGCGTGCCACGCTCAGGCTCGGAATCCTCGGTGGCAAGTTGTCCTTTCACACCAAGCATCGTGCCAGAAGCGATGACAAGTGGTTTTCCGGTACCGGCCATGGCTTCGCTCATGGCCTCAATGGCCGCCTGATCGACCTTGGTGGCTTTGAGATAGTCACTGAAGTCGTGTACCTAACAAGTCTCGGTTAGCAGATGTTAGAAAGGCGTGCTGAGGTCTCGTGATAGACACGTCGTTTCTCACAAGGAGGAGGGGCCTCTCACAAATGCGAGGTGAATGACGCCGTCAGCCTTCTTCGCACCGCTCTTCAGACTCTCTAGGTCTTCAAGGTCGCCCCGGTGAACCTGTGCGCCGAGCTTTGCAATGGTGTCCGCAGAGGCGTCGCTCCGTGCGAGGCCAAGCACTTCATGGCCGTGGTTGAGGAGTTCTTGGATGGTTGCTCGGCCAATGAATCCGCCCGCCCCGCTGACGAAAACTAGCATTGTTGTTGATGGGAAACGGAGTCGTGATGGTTTGTGTGAAAATCCGAGTGTTCAATCAGTGGCTATCTCTCGCTAGGACAGACTGGCAAGGACTTATGAACAGTAACTGAACATCGCTTTTAGACCACGAGAACACCTTTTTATATATATGTCTCCCCCAACCCATGATCACCATGACATTGAAACGGTATTAGACATGCATAGTTCGGATATAGAAAACTCTCCTTGCCCCAAAAGAGCAGTCCACCACGGGCGCATGTCTTTGTAAGTCCGTGCCCCTGCTCACGAGGCTCCTCGGCCGTTCGAGGACATGATGGAGATGAAGATGGAGGTACGGACGGTCGGTCACGCCCAGCATGCCTTACCCTTCGGAGGGTCCATAGGGAGAGCGGTACGCTAACCACGACTCGTATTCCCCGCGCCATTTGAGTGGATGCGAGAAATAGGGGGTCCAGGAGGCGGAGCTTGAGAGCCCCGAGTCCGAATGAGCTACTATGAAGGTATTGACTCTTTGATTAATCATTATATGCGGGCTCCGTATAATATTTCCGCCGTGTTGCGCCGGGGCACGGACGAACTATTTTGTAGAAATCATTGCATGCGAAAATTGCAACGCCAAAATGAATACTCCGTATATGGCGAGATAGGTCCTCGTAGAAATAAATCCATCCTTAGCCCAGCCTCCTTGAGAAAATATGTATGACTATTATTTTTGGAGAAAGGACGCCCCCCTATGTGCCCGAAGGTATTCAATCAAAACTGTTCGGGACAAATGCCGAATAATGAGTGTGGGCAATGCCAATGCCAATGCCACCTTCTCAGATGGAACAAGGGGGAATGTGTCCCAGATGTATCCCATAGTCCCTGCTGGCCAAGGTTGAATCCATTTTGGCGATTCGTATCAATTTGCAACGGGAGATCGTGCAAGGCCCCCTTGTTTTCACGCCCAGGCCGTCTCCCTCACCAGCGAAATTGACGCCTCAAAATAAATTTTAAGCCGTGCTGCCCGTCGCGCCCGTTGCTCGTTCTCTCGATCATGCCCGACACGTGGTGAGTCCCGCGCCTATGTTCTCCTTAAGTTAGAGAATTCAAACTTATCCAACCCGACTGGACGAGGATCCGTGCCATAAATGATCCTGCCAAAGTCTGCGATAAATCGAGACGGGAGCGCCCGCAGAATCTCTCCGCCTGCCTGTCCGATTCATTGGCCATACGCGCAAGAAACAGACACAGAGAGCCTAGACCTGCAGCCAGAGCTGTGCTTACCGAGGAGCCGGACGCATAGCTTGGAAGGGCAAGCTCGCTTTTCTTGTTGATGTACTTGGGTCCCTCGACCTGGATCTTTTCACCTTCGAACGCGGCGTGCACGTCATGGTCCGATCGCAGTAGAGGATGGCCCAGTTCGTCGGATGCGGAAACGGCAATCATGTTACTCGGATTGACAGGCCAGAAATTGTGACCGGACTCCGCGCCGACGTCGGCCGTTGAGCTGAAGATGAGTATGTTCTGCTGCACTGCCCACTTTATGGCGTGAACCAACGGGCTATCCAGTTCGTCATCGACGTTAAAAAATCGAACAACCCTGCTGATGATGATATCAACCTTTTGGTCAATTGCCCATTCGATCGCCTGTGGATATTGTCAGCAGATTGACCTGTCTTGGAAGCTTCCAGTTTGATTCCATACTCTAGCTGCGGCATTGGCATCCTCATCGTGGTGGAAGGATGCCACTCAAGCAGGGTACAATCGACAACAGGGGTTCACCATACGTATCAGACACGCCATTTGTGTTCCATGCGCATCCGCAGCCACGGCCCAGGGCAGCAGGGGACAATTCCAGGATCCGGCCCTGGCGAAAGATCTCCTAGCGACAATCGACGATGCCAAGTCTCCGTTTGTCGGATCGACGCCATTACCCAAAAGCGCTATCTTCACTCTTCCCTTTCAGCGCCTGTCTTTGAGTGTCTGCCAGCAGCGTCTCAGTGACGGATTTGTAGGTTCCTCTGTCATTTTTTGTAGGGCCTCGAGGAAGTAATGGCAGCCGTGGAGGTCACTAAGCAACCTCATACTTCAAGCGTTGTAAGTCTCAAGACACGGAGCGTCTCATGGTGCAACTCACTTGCAAGCTTCTTGTTTAAGAGTATATAACGCTGGCTTCAGCATATCGATCCCACGAGGGATCCGTGGCAATCTCGAATTTTACACTAGAATCAATGTGTAATAGGATAATGGCGTCATTCCTTACAATCTTTCTGTCTTCATTGTCACTAGCTCTGCCCTGGTCACAGTGAGATTTAGGATCCTTGTACAACGAGATCGCGCAGCACTTACAGAAGGAATGGGCGGTAGAACCAAGTGAAGTTTGACCTTTTTAATCTAAAGCCATAATCAGCACAGAAAGATGGACCGATGATGGACCAGCCAAAAGACGTACTGCTCTCAATGGACCGATCCTCGAATTTTTCTGAGGTTATCAACACTGTATTCCGAGCGGTTTACAGATGTAAACACGTGAGGGAGGGTGAGTTGGTCTGAGGTGAAACGTCTCTATTCGCCGGAGAGACACCAAGCGGCTTCCAACGAGTCGACAACGTCTTCTGGAGTTTGGTCCAACCTGTAATCTCGTCTGAAAATGTCGTAAGGTTCAAGTCCATTCGCAGCCAGTCAAGCTCTGCCACCCGGAACCTATTGAGGATATTCTCACGAACGAAGCCTGTCTCAAAACATCGCTTCAGGTCAGGGAGTTTGACTCGAAGAATCTTGACCACACCTCAGCCGCGCAGCTACTGCAGAAATAGTTTCAGAGAGTGTGGAGTACAGTTGCATGGTAGCACAAGGTCCAACAGGGTGTCTTCAAACAGCCAAGTTGTTACTGAATTATCGTTGTCGTTGCTGTCCATCTCGGACCGATGAAGCTCATCTACGTATGTCTTGAACCACTGCGGATCGTTGTTGGGGTCTGTGAGATCCAAACAAGCTTCTTTACCTGAGCTTTAGTTAGGGTCTCCATCTCGGGATCTTATCGTCGACGGTAGAAATACCTCTCTCTGTCAAAGTCATCGGTCAGTGCTCGTTCCCCAGCTTTGTGCGCGTAGAATGTCGAAGTCGACTCACCACCTCTGCAGAACAACGCTCGTATCACTGACTCAATATTGTACGGCTCGGTATTGTGACCTAGAGAGTTGAAGATCTCCTCATACTGCAGCTTTTCAATCCAGTCGAAGGGCGTGGTGCGACCAGGAAATCGGTTCCGACAAGATATGGTGAGTCGCTGGGCAAAGAAGTATGGAGGTCGCCCTTGGTCATCATGGATAGTGAGACAACTTGGGACCATGGTAATGATTCTTCTCAAAATGCTTTCAGTTTGTAGCAAGCCTTGGTCCAAATCTTCCCCGCTGGTAGCCGTGTGGATCAAGTCGTTGTCAGTCCATGCCAAAATCTAATGTAACAGAGAATCAAGAAATTCCTCATTCTGCAGGATTGTGGTCCTATTGCCGAATTTCTCTTGCATGTACTCATTGGATAGTCTGGTCAGAATGGTATCCACACAAAGGTCGTGCCTATGGCGAATCGCCGCCCCGAGTGCCGTGAGAGTGCCAAAATGACTCCCAAATAAGATACCCATTCTGCGGGAATCATTTTGTTCTCTGGATAGCTTCTCCAGAACCAGGTGCAGAAGGGTATCGAGTGCAAACTGGGCGCAAACATGAATGGCGCCTGTATTGTAGAGCCGGTCGCCAGCAGAGCACCAGATCACCCCTGTCGAGCTCGCACAATGAAATATTGGATCCCTTTTAGCCCAATGTGGATCGGCGACGAACTTGGTCACCGACTGTCGAAATACTTCAATCCACGATATTCTCTTGGGGGAAGCTGTTGACAGGGTCGCGAGAGCACCATTGGGGCAAACCACCTGAGACGCTAGACGCTTCACCAACGGCGCAAACTGCCTCAACCTCGTTGTTCCTACAGATCTGTGACAGGATGGCGACGAAATAGGAGGTTTCAGGAATGCTCTTGCGGTTACCCCCAATGTATATATAAACAGGCAGAGTCACTCTGAATAGCCAGGGGGGCAGAACACAATCAACCAGACAGGTCCACAACTCAACCTTCGTTCAACATCACTACTTAAAAAAGCCCTATAGGAGCTAGCTCAATAAGCAGTTCAAGTGTAATAGAGGGGAGGGACTTAGGATCCAGAGTTAGAATCCATTAATATTTTAAACAGGTCCCATCGCCCAAAGTTGACGAAAGTTGGTATTAATACCAAGTAGGTAATAATAGAAGGCTTCGGTTCACTCCGAAAGCGTTTAGAGATTTCTCAGAAGAGGCAGGTAAGCCGAGGAAGAGTAAAGCGGCGAACGGCTTGGTTCTGTGGTTCAATACAATAATAGAAGTGGAAAGATGCTGGCCAATCAGACGAGGCTCTAAACCTTAATTGAGCGAGCACTAGAAATCGGCAAGTCGGGCCCGCCAGCAATCACAACATCGAACTTTTCATCCAGACCTAGCTTGGCTCCAGAGATGTTGCAAGCATCACTTGGCTTGAATTAACATGTCATTCGACAAGTCGCCCTTCTTGTTGCGGTTGCTGTCGCACTTTATGGCCTGGAAGGAGCGAGTCGAACATGGATCTCAACGATCGCCAGGATGAAACTGCTAACACCGTGGTCACAGACCTCAACATTCCTCCGCTCGAAAACTTCGACGCCCATCACCAGGGACCTGAAAATACACTTGCCCGGTCCATTCAAACGCCCAAAGATGTTTCCGGCGCGGCTTCGTTCTACAAGGAGAAATGGAATCGCCTCCGTGAACATTATCTGGACCAGTATCTCGAAATTTTCAAGGAGACATTTGAATCAGGAGATGAAGACTATCTCGGTGGTGACCTACCCCCAACTCAGCTAGGGGCAGCTCTTTGGCGATCTGATGAGAAAGCAAGGCTGTATGACGCCTTATGCCGCAAAGGCCGACATGAACTCAAGACTCTTTCGAGTTTGGTTGGTACAAAGTCAGAAGTCGAGATCAGCGCGTATTTGGACCATTTGCGAGAACACGAGGCCGATCGTCAACGCTTCGAAGCACAGCCGAAAAATATTTCCCACGCCGACATTCCTGCTGCGATTGAGATCGGCCGTGAATGCGAAGCTGTCCTTGACAAGGCTGCAGCTGCCTTGTTAGCCTTTCAAGAACAATTCGACGCCACTGTCGGTCAAAACGACGGCAAGTTATGGCTGATCGATCACGAGGCAGCAGCTGAGTTAGATCGAAGAGGAGATGAATCGGAAGCTTCCGGAAACATTCATCAACAAGAGTCTGACGACTTATTCACCCCGCTTTCTGAAAGAGCAGTCCAAGCTTTCCACCTATCAACGTTTCTCATGCTGAGCGAGCGCTTTTTTATGAATAGAGATGTCGACAACCCTGAGTCGTGGTCAAACATAGCAGAGGAGGGTCAACGTCCGGCTCTGACCTTGGACTGTGTAACCCTTTTGTACGACCTGGTCGTCAACTTCGCACGTCGACTGATACAATCATCCCTTTTCATTGCCACGTCTCGCCTCCGTGCGGCCACGTCGAAAGACTACCATCCCAGGCGATTTGTCAAATCTCAAGACGTACTTGCGGCTTTGGAGGTGTTAGGCGTGGAAAAAGACTCTGAGTCATACTGGATTGGGCTGGCAAGGAGAAATGAGCTAAGCGTCGTGGACGACGCGCATAGGAGGGGCGTCGATGGTAAGGCGGTCATGTCCTATCAAAAAGTGGAGGAAATGTTGTCAAGTCACCGCAGAACCAGGTCGGGTCCGAGCACGTCTACAACATCAACGAGGAGCCAGTCACCCCTGGAGCGATCCTCCGGCGCGGAAGATCTCACAGACGACAATATCGACACCCTTGTTTCTGATGTGCACGAGCAATCTTCCGCAGACACTCCTTACTCTGATGCAGAAAGTGAGGGGCAAACAGCAAACAGTCCCAGCAAAGAAGAGGATGATTCCTCGTCTGAGGAGCGCTCGAGCTTGCGGATGTCAAGGGAGAAGCGAATACAAATTCTCCAAGAAAACGAAGACCGCTACCTGGGGAGAATGGATCGAGAAGCTCGGAGACGGGAAGAATCGCGCCTATTATCCCTGCTCAGTGTTCACGATGAACAAGGGATCAAGGAACAAGAAATGGAAGGTCTAGGGGTGCGACCGCGGGTGCTGAGAAAGTCTATAGAAGATTGTATGAGATGGTCTGTCCGATACGAGGCCGAGTGGGAACGGAACGGGAGAATGCTAGAATCGTTGGTTGAGCCCACATCAAAGAAAAGGAGAATAGATCCTGAAGATGGGAGTGGTTGAGCAAAGGCCCGGGATCTTTGTGCAGCGCAATCAAGACGTGAAGATTCGTACGCAAGTACCTCGTAATTAGAAAGGAGATCTGTGATGAATGTCATGGTTGAAGGTAAGTCCTGAGGCTGATGTCACATGGGTAACATGGGCGGCATGGCGAGGATGGGTATCAATGGGCGGCGAGGCGGACAATTAAACTTAACGGGAGCTAAATTTTAGCGGCCAATCTTGGGGCTCATTGGAGGTCGAGGTCTCGAAGCTCCCAACAAGGAAATTTCACCGCCTCGGCTGGTAAACAACAATGGAGCTTCCTATCAGACACTCCGCGACTTCTCTACAACCCACGCATTGTTTGTAAATACATATCATTTTTCATTCTGGCGAAGGAGGACCTGTGACAGAACCGCACCCTTGCTTTGTCCAAGTAGGCACGCGTTCTTCTCAATTGATTACGCGAGTTGACGCGTCGGTCAGTGACGCGAAGGGCACGGGGTCCTAGTCCAAACGACAGCCCCAACATCTGGACTACTCAGTACATATTTCACGACTGGCATTTGGACGTTATCTTCTTGTTCCATGCTTTTGGTCTTCTCAAACCTACCGCGCTGTCTCGTCCATATCAAACCTGGGCAGAGACATCAAACCCGACATATCGTCCCACAAGATGGGTCTTCGAGAAGTGACCAGCGATGACGAGCGAGCCCTGCAAGAGATTGCAGACTGTCTGGCAGGATCGCACAAGATCTTGCTTGTAACGGGCGCAGGCATCAGTACCAGTTGTGGCATTCCTGTGCGTGTCATAGCTACATTGATTGGCGTGATGTTAACTGTGTAAAGGACTTCCGATCCAAAGATGGACTCTACAACATGATCCCCGGCCAGACTATGCTGCCAACACCGCCGCCATCGGAGCCGTCAACCCCCACACACACCCGATTCAGAGACCTGGTCGTCGATGAGGAGCCTTCCTCATCCCAATCGAGAAGTCGAAGAGTATCCTCGAGTCCGTCATCAAGGCTAAGAGGCCAGGACTTGTTTGACGCCCGAGTCTTTCAACATGCCGAATCAACCACAGTCTTTTACCAGTTCATCGCTTCTCTTCGGCAGAAAATCCGACACGAGGTGCGGTCCACGAGCTCAGTCCACAAGTTCGTCCGGGTGCTGCGCGACGGTGGCCGATTGATGCGGTGCTATACTCAGAACATAGACGGTCTCGAGTTAAGAGAAGGCCTTGTGACTGATCTAGCACGCGGCAAAGGAAATAAACGCAGATTCATGAAGAAGCACTATGAGGCTCCGCGCCCTGCACACACAGTGGGCACCGACTTTGATGGGGGATGCGAAGTCGTGCAACTCCATGGTGACCTGGAGAAGCTGCGCTGCACAATGTGCTCCAGCCAGTACCAGTGGAATGATGAGCAGACTGAAATCTATCTCGAAGGAGCTGCGGCGGACTGCCCCAAGTGCAAAGACAAGAGTGACCAAAGACAAGCCAGCGGAAAACGAGGTCTTACGGTGGGCGCGCTTCGACCAAACATTGTCCTCTATGGAGAAGACCACCCTTCGAACACGTTGCTCACGCCGCTGATCCCCTTTGACGCCAGTTGCCAGCCTGACGTGTTGGTCATTATGGGAACATCATTGAAAGTTTTCGGGCTCCAGAAGATTGTACGAGAATTTGCAAAAGCTGTCCATTCACACAAAAATGGCAAAGGACGGGTTATCTTCGTCAACCGCACTCGACCCGCGGAAAGCGTCTGGGACGGCATAATTGACGACTTTGTCTCCATGGACTGCGATGACTGGGTGGACGACCTCAAAAGACGCCGGCATGATCTGTGGCTCCGGCAAGGCGAGATTGATATGACGATAACGAAGTCAGAAAGGCCCAAAAGGAAACGAAAGTCCATGGAAGAATGCACTGGGAAGGAGAACAGATCAGAGAAGAAGGCGAAGATAGTCGTGGAGATACCCGCTTCTGCGAAGGCCAGAAACAAGGCATCTAGCACCCCTAAGGGAAAGACACTCATGTCAAAGACAACCTGGCTTCCTCCCGACTACCCAGGGCGAGGAATACTGTCCCCTTTGGCACAGGCGAAAAGACCACCGATTTCGCCATTCACGAGTCCCATTAGAATGGAAGATGAAAGTACTCTGTCAGGTCGCTCCAAGCAAGGCACGCCCAGCCGGCCACCTTTTTCGCCTTTGACCCCTGGAACTTGTTCTAGAAACACAGGAGGGGCTGAAAAACACCCAAACATCCCGGATCCTCAGCGAAGAACCCCGACGCGACCTGATTTCTCGCCCTTTACCCCAGGAGTTCGTTTCGGAAGCAAACTGAAGATGGAGGTATTCACGGATGGCTGTATTGACAATCAAGACTTACCAAGCAGTCCTCCGAACGGGGACTCACAGATAGAGCCGGAGTTGGATGAGGCTACCACAATAGCTGTGGTATCGAAGAAGGCTGGCGCGGTCGCGCGCAAGTCGAGGGAATCCAGCTTCATGGCACGAATCTGGCAGCGAGTAGAAGATCGACTGTTATTCTCTTTTACTCGTGATGCAGACCTGAGTCGACAAGCGGCCGAAGACGAGCTTGCCGAGGTTGAGACACCATCCAAAGGACCAAGAGGCCGGAAAGTCGATGTGTTTGCCGGCTGATTTGATGTTAACCATGAAGGGAGGCGATGGCATGGAGGATTTCTTCAACAAGGGTATGAGTTGAATGGGCCGCCATGCTGTTTCGACACGAGGCTATGACTGTACAATTCTTGAGCAGAGCATATAGGTAGAACGAGCAAGACTTTGCACTAGAAGCCATGGAAATTTGGGGTTGGACGACCAAGGCACAGGGGCTCGCGTGTGAGAAAAGCGCTGCAATGGACGAGTAGGCATTGCTTTTTCTCAGTTGGCTCTTCCGTAGACTATGCTCCTCGCTCTCGCCCGAGTGTTTCCGGCCGAGGCAAAAGCACTGTTTGGAACCCTGACTACCACCAGTCTCTGGGTTGGTGGCTAGACGCTTGATCATTTCTGACGAATTTTTAAGCGCACATGACAAATGAGCCGCGGTATAGTAACCGCCACGGGCTTGTCTGACCCGTGCGCCCGTGCCTTTTGCTGAATATAACATTCCGAGTCTTTCCACTTCCCCTCTTTCTTGTTGGTGTGATCTTTCCTCCTCTATGCCCTCTCCGTGAAACAGACCGCATTCTCCAGCAGGATACCTGGGTGCTTTTATTCTAACTATCTACAGGACGTCGGCCTGCCAATCCGATACAGTGTATTTTTTTGGTCGTCTCGGAAAACTATTTCTGCGGGGTTTCGTCTACAAGCCTTTTTTAAACTGCTAGAGAAGAACCAAAAAAAAAAAAGAAAAAAGAAAAAGTTCGGCGGTCCGGAAGTCACGCTTAGGTTGTTACGAGGAGTCTGGTCTTTTGGAGAGGAGGAGTCTCACTGATTTACCACTACGTCTGTGATTTAATTGCTTGAGACACTTAGAGTGCACCAAGCACACTTTGCTGGTTGTTCACTCCGGGAAAGTCGGAGGCCGTGGCAAAGACAATTCTTTGCTGGGGGCAGACACCGTGAAGGACACGAACTGCTTATAAGACATCAGCTCCTTAACCGCATCCCCCAAATCCACAGCATCAAGGCTCATAAAGCATGCAGCCCCCTAGCAACATGTCCAAGGGGTTCGATACCATCGAATCCACCATCGAAGCCTTCCGCAATGGCGAGTTCATTGTGGTTCTCGACTCTCAAGACCGTGAGAACGAAGGCGACCTGATCATCGCTGCTGAGGACGTCACTACCGAAAAAATGGCCTTCATGATCCGCTACACGAGCGGCCTCGTTTGCGCTCCAATCACCTCTCATCTCGCTGCCGGATTGGCACTACCACAGATGGTGGTGGACAATGAGGATCCTAATCGCACGGCCTATACTATCTCGATCGACTCGAATGATGAGAGCGTCAGCACCGGCATCTCAGCCCATGATCGTGCCTTGACTTGCCGCACCCTGGCTAGCAAGAAAGCCACCCCCGACAGCTTCCGCAGACCTGGCCACGTTTTCCCGCTCCGAGCTAGGGACGGAGGTGTTCTTGAGAGAACGGGCCACACCGAGGCAGCGGTCGAGTTCTGTCGCCTGGCGGGCAAGGCGAAAGTCGGGGTCATCTGCGAGATGGTTGAAGACGGAGAGCCCGTCCCAGGACAGACGGCCATGCGCGAACCGGGTATGATGAGGCGCGATGCTTGCCTGGAGTTTGGCCGCAAGTGGGGATTGAAGGTTTGTACGATCGAAGACCTGGTCGACTATGTCCAGAAAGAAAAGATGATGAGAAATGGGCATGGGCACGGGCATGTCACGAATGGGGTTAATGGGCATCATTGACGAGGGTGAATAAGTTGAGCGAGTTGCTAGACATGATTGAACGTCACGTATATGGCAGTGAACATATTGATGAGCTGAATTGAATCCCAAGGTGTTTGCTTCTACTATATTTCTCTCTGCGATGGCATTCCATGGTGAAGCCTTGCGCGTGCAGCCACCGGAACGAGGCTGGTGATGCCCGGTGGTGGATGACGTCAAGCACCAGTCTTGCGCTCCCAGGCAATTTCTTGGCCATTTCTTGGCCATTTCTCGGCCATTTGCGACCTGCCTTGGAGCTTTTCTCACCTCAGCACTTACTTGAATTCGGGCTTCCTGTGCTTCGCTCTGGTTTGGGCAATAACGCCCGGCTGCTTGCTCGTCCAATGCTCCGAGAATGAACGTCTCCCCGCCCTATTATGTGTGACCGAGATGAATGCAATGGCCAGGAGATTATTGCTTTGCATTGAAGAAACCCGTCAATAAAGATACATCAATCTCGCTCGATTCTTCCATAAGGGGGCTAGAACACCTCTGACAATATCTTCTCTCCCCTTCCGACAAGGCGTGGGCCAAGGAGTGCGGTGTTGAATTTCACCAATTTTGGTGTCTGCTGTTCCTGGGATCAATCTCGTATTCAGAAACCCAGGTCTTCCACCCCCGAGACTCGGATCCTGGCTAACCTTGCAACACAGCTGGCCTCTTTTCAGACAAGCACATGACAAAGTATTTCCTTGGGCCTCCCATCTTCCCCACGGTCGACTCCCTCCCTAAAAAAAAAACCTCTTAACGAGCCCGGGCCGCGTCTCCCTTCAGCAGCCACTCTCGCAATATCGCTCCGCCCCCGGTCTCAGCCTCACGCTAAGCCGGACATCATGCAAGGGTCCAAATAATAGGCGAACCTGAGATCTGCTTGGGATTTGATCCTAGAGACCCTTTCCTCGCTCGCTCCCTGCTCCTCCATTTCTTCCTCTCTTCCTCGCTCTTGCTTCCTTATTTGCCCTTTGCCTGGCTTTGGCCGGGAGCTCGATTGAGTCTCACGTCCAAGAGTCGCATATATTTTTTAAGGCTTGTCCAGCCGCAGTACCTGATACTGCGACCAAATAAGGCACCTAGCATTCTGTCGTCGCCTCTCGCTTTCCCTCTCCCTTTCTCTCCCCGTCTCTTTCGCTATTCTCTCGCTTGATTATCTACCAATACACACGTACAGAGTACATACACGGATAGGGAGTTTGGGTTACCTTCCCCTAGGTTGTCCGCCGGCAGCGTTTCTTCTTTTCTGCTTTGGTCACATCGTCACGGCTATTCGTGTTCCTTTGGAGCGCTGCTTGCATTACACACAACATAACGCCAACGTCGACTTTGGGCTTCCACTCTCGATCCAAACTTCAACAAGCATTCAACGGCTGTCTTGATTCTAAACAGTTAGAATTTACTCCACGACAATTCTAAATACAAAATCGTGCTCCCGAGAAGCGCGGGGCAAAGGGTCATTCCCAACCGACCTGATAAATCATCTCAATGGCACCCACTTCATCAAGTCTCTTTCCCCGACAGGGCTTTGGTGATAACGGCCCGGGCGACTTTGGCGATGGCGACCGCAGGGGTCCAGGCGACGGCGGCGGGGTCTCGAAATGGGCAATCCTCGGTATCGTGATTGCCATTGCTGTTCTTGGGCTCATTGTTGCTTTCGTTGTCTTCAGACGCATTCGGCGCCGTCGCAGCAAAAACACGATTCCCGCCATCAAACTCCAATCCACAACAGCCAACAAACCCACATCAGCTTCTCCCTCGACGAGCGACCCGTCGAAATACGGCGCCAATAGCAATGGCGGCTACACTGCCACGGCAGACCAGAACCAATCCCTTCTAGGAAACGCAGAAGCGCCTGCCATCATCATGTGGAATCCCAGCTCATCCGAGCACGGAGGCGTCGGGTCGACGCAGGACGGGTTCGGCTATGATAACAATTTGAACCTCACGGGAGGGATCCAGCGGCCCGCCAGCGTCGCCAGCTTTTCTGCCCCGCCACCCAGGTACGAGGAAGCTACTGGCAGCAGCGCTGGAGGGCTACGACCGCAAGGCGAGGCGGCGAGTTACTTCAATCCCGCGGTGTCGATGGGCCAAGAGCGCGGGCGCAGCCTCACCAGGGACGGCGAGGGGTCCAGAGGGCGCGCGCTGAGTGTGGATCAGAGGAGCATCGATGGAGATCGAAGGCGGAGCGTTTCGCGGTTCAGAGAGGAGGGGATGGTCGATGTCAATGTTGACGCGAAAACCTGAGATGTCTTTGACTTTTTTTGGGTTCAATGGTCTGATTTTGGTTTTTGAACATCCTTTACAATGTAGCCAAATGGGCTGAGCCAGATGCAAACGGTCTTGTACGGAGTCCCGGGAAACATGGCGGGATATGATACCTTTATGTGTGTTATGGAGATGCTCATGTTGTTTTTAATGGTACAGTGTCTTATCTGGAAAACCTCTTTGCTTTGTGCTCTCTAAGAATCAGGAAAAACAAACGCCTAGTGATATATCTGGGGGTATCATTTCTCATTTTTCCGTTTTGGGGGCACCCATTCCGTTTCCATTTCCATCCGATCCCCTTCCTATCCTATTATATTCCGATTTTGAAACACTTGCCTACCTGGACGCTGTGACTTTTTGAGAATGAAAAGGAAAAATTACCGGCGGGGGCTTGGGAATTGGCGAGATCCGGAGTAGGCTGGCCACGGCAGGGGGCTTCGAGGGTGCGCATCGCCTGAAGAAACACCGCACGTACTGAAGGAGCGCAGGACCATCGACGAATGACCATCCATGTCCCGCTAAATTACTTCTTAACGTCTGGTTTCTTTTCCGAGTAATCCCTAAATAGACCCTGCATGTGCACGTTGGTGATTTTCTGGCCTCTGCGAACTTTCCTCTTTTTCTCCTTGGGTTTCACGGCGAGGTCCGTCCGAGCCGGCTCGCCCGTGGATTTGTGATTCATTTTACGAAGCTCTTTGATCGTGTCCTCAACGCTCGGCAACGGGATCTGGTTCCAGAGATCCTTGAATTCTTGGTCCAGCGGTGCTTGCAGGGTGGGGTCGTCGATCCAGACCATGCGCGGGTGATGGTCCTTCTTGTTCCGAGTCACCAGCAAGCGGTGCTCGGCCTCAAGTTTGTCAATTGCCTCTTCGACGTCGGCCCAGCCGTCTTTCAGTTTCGACACCTGGATCCCCATTGCCGTCTCTTGCTTCTGCAGGAACTGGAGCAGGGAGTCTGCATCGGTGATGTTGTGTTCGGGTTTGAACAAGAAGCTGTCCGTTTCCTTGTCATATGTGACTTTTGAGTTGGCGTTGAGAACCGCCAGAAAGTGTTGGACGGTGGTCTCATCACGTCGCTGGACGGGTAAGACGAAGGTGATCAGATCGGAGGCAGAGATGCGTTCAGGGAACTTTTCGCGCAATCGCCCGACGGCGTAGACGGCGTTCGTGCGCACGTCTGTACCCGCCGGGTCGGTCACCGGCGGCGCATAGAAGGCAGACATTTTGGGCTGGTAGATTTATCGAAAGCGCAAATGTGCTCTTTGTTGAGTTCCTCTGTTTGCGGGCGGAGCGAGGGCGTAACTGGGGTGATAGATGGGAGGGGAGGCCTAGTCAAAGGTTCCGCTTCCGGTTGCGGTAGAGAGTCTATCTCATTTCGAAGCAGAGAGAGGATGACAGCGAGCGAGTCTGTCAAGAAGACTGAGCATATCTAGGAGAAATGAAGTTGAAGAGTGATACCTATGTGAGGTCCTCTCGATGGCGGCTGAGTATATGAGACTAGGGCAGCGAAGTAGGCAGGTTGATACGCGGGGGCAGGTGAAGCGAGCCCCAGTTCCTCCGAACAGTGGGCGTGGCAGCGCCAACAGTTAAAGCCGGCTTACATAACTAGGCTCCTGCAGCCTAACTGAACACTCAGACAATGCGTGGGAAGGCCTGGTGAGCCCAAGTCACGTTCTCTCAGTTGCCCGCGCCGCCCGCTTCTGTCTGTTTAGAGATTCATTCTCGAACATCTCCAATTCCATCCTACCTTCCACATTCCACCTCTCACCTTTCACCACATCCGCTCCCTGTTCCCGTGTCCGTTGCTCGCGCAAGCAGCTTCTTGCGCCATGGTGAGCCGGGTTAAAATAACTTTCATTTCACCCTGAGGTTGCGGCGCGCTTGCGGTGGGCGCATTCTGCCCTGGAAGTCACTTCCCTCACCAACCCTCGACGCCAATATCTTCACAATACTACAGCCTCTTCAGAATGGCGGCCGAAGTCGACTTTCGCGCCATCTCGGCTTTCTCCTCGCTGCCTGAAACTTCCCTCACCTCACTCATCAGTCAGCCGACGCCCGAGCTCGTCACTGCCCTTCTTCGCGCTATCGAGGTGAAAGTCAGAGAGTTTGAACAAAACAAGTCCCAAAAAGTCAAGCTCGAAATCGAACTCGAAACAGTCGTTCGGACAGGTGAATCCAAAGCGAAGGTGCTACAAAATTCGCGTGACAAGGCCCTTGCAGAATCCAGTAAACTTCGCGTCGAATTGCAAACCTCGGGTATGTAGTGACCCTCACTGCATGCTCGCAGAAATAGCTGACGGGTTCGTCACAGAAAATGCGCGATCAAAGTTGGAGACCGAGCTCGAGCAGTACCGTTCTGCCACGGCAAATGAGAGTTCTGAAGTCAATACTCTCAAGTCCCGTATTTCTTCTCTCGAAGCCTCCAACCGAGATACCTTGTCACTCCTCGAGTCCAAAAACACCGCATACGAAAGCCTGTCCCAAGACCTTTCAGCTCAACACCAAAAGACTGCGGAGCTTCGAAAACAGATCAACGGCGTGGAGCAGTTACTGCAGTCTGCCAATGCTGGCGTTGCAAGTGCAAAATTTAAAGAGCAGTCACTTCAACAAGAAGTTGAAATGCTCAAGAAAAACAACGAGTGGCTAGAGACTGAACGAAAGATCAAGGCTGAGGAATACACCAACTTCCGAAAAGAGAAGAATGCGCGGATTTCAGAACTTTCA